TGAATACACTTCACAATCCTGAGTCTCCTATTCTTCCTCAGTCCTTCAGGCTATTATCTAGCTGCTTATCAGTGAATCATGATTTCAGTAGCACAGCTACCTTATTCAGGCTCACCTGGCTTTATTGGTCTCCACTAGTTTAACCCACATAGTTGATTTGATCCAATAACTTCATTTTTTGTAATTCATCCTCACTTAGCTTTTCCCTTTCTCAATCTTTCTATTAGTCCAGCAGGAAGAGAATTTGAAGTCATCTTAAATTCATATTCACTGGAGAGTATACATAGATTGCTCACTATTCCATAGTCCACTTTCTTAAAATCTTCTGGAAAGCACAGATTTTCTTACCAACGAGCAGTTGCCAGAGCAATCCTAAGTAAGAAAATACAGCTTATATGAACAGTATGGGAAAAAATAGAAAAGAAACCACCTCCAAAAGCCTTCACAAAACCAACCAAAGAAGAAAGATTCTTCTGTGTCCTAAGATAAACTTGTCTCAAATTATACTTTCTTTAAAATATAGTTCCTCACTCCATTTACAGATGCATCTATTGAAACAGTGTGGAGTATATTCTATTCAAAATAGTAAAGTACTTTTAAGTTGAATGAACTCCAGAAGCTAGGAAGCTAACAGACAGTATGGCAAAGCCTGTGGATACCATCCTGAACTTATAGGTTTCAACTGAAATACTCGAATACCTTAGTGGAAAAAATACCATTTGAATGTTATTTAAAGAAAAAAAAAGCCTATGCTGCTTGCTTTGTTACTGTCCATCAATCTTTTCTAATGTGTCACCATTATATCAATGAATAACTGTTCTCAGGAAATACACTGGTTTCTACTGGAGAAGAAAATTATCATGAGACCACTCCTAGCAACCTTATTTTAAGTCATCTAAAATACCGAAACTGAGAAATCCATTTTTAAGTGAAAGATAGGCCTCCAGGGGACAGAACTGGAGTTCTTTGGGTTTCAAGGAAGGGGCAATCACCGCAGCCTTCATAAAGCTGACGACACAGAATTCACAGCCCAGAAAGTGAGAGATCACATGGGCTTAAAGCCTGCTGCACAGAGGGCTTCTACGGCCCCACTGATAGCCAGCGGGGTGACTGACAGGCTCGAGGATTGCTAGCCACGCTTGCCTTGCTGCTTCCATTTTGATCTCGTGATCGGGCTCCAGGAGGGCCATGAGAAAGCTGGCATTGGCTGTCTAGTGCAGGCAATTCTTTTAAGGTTCTCTAGTTCTCCATCAAGACTGTGGAACTGAAATAGAACTCTCCCAAAATTATCAAATAGCTTTGTCTAAAAACACATTGCTTTTGTCCCACCTCAAGCGCCGGATCATGCACTTGGGTGGGTCACAACCCCATGCAGCGCTGCAGGCCTGGGGAAGAGTGGCAGAAAAGCCAATACCTGGGGGTATTGGTCAATAACTGGCTGACTATGAGCCAGCAGTGTGCCCAGGTGGCCAAGAAGGCCAATAACATCCTGGTTTGTATCAGAAATAGTGTGTCCAGCAGGACTGGGGAAGTGATCATCCCCTTGTACTGGTACTGGTGAGGCTGCACCTCCAATACTGTGTTCAGTTTTGGGCCCCTCACTACAAGAAAGCCATTGAGGTGCTGGAGCATGTTTAAAGAAGGGCCACGAAGCTGGTGGAGGGTCTAGAGAGCAAGTCCTGTGAGGAGCAGCTGAGGGAACTGGAGTTGTTTAGCCTGGAAAAAAGGATGCTGAGGGGAGACCTTATTGCTCTCTACAACTATGTGAAAGGAAGTTGTAGGAAGGTGGGTATCAGTCTCTTTTCCTAAATAACAAGTGATAGGACAAGAGGAAACGGCCTCAAGTTGTGCCAGGGAAGGTTTAGCTTGGAGATTAGGAAACATTTCTTCCTCAAAAGGATTGTTAAGCATTGGAACAGGCTACCTGGGGAAGTGGTTGAGTCACCATCCCTGGAGGTATTTAACAGAGGTGTAGATGTGGTGCTTAGGGACATGGTTTAGTGGTGGACTTGGCAGTGTTAGGTCCACATTTGGACTTGATGATCTTAAAGGTCTTTTCCAACCTAAATGTTTCCATGATTCTATGAATGAGTGCCCTTCACTGTGCATTATGTACATGAAGAAACCACGTCACAAACATGAAACTAAACCTAATGGATATCAAATATACCTACTTTTAATAACATAATTATAGGTATTATTTTCTATTTAAAACCCTTAAATCTCTGAGTAAGGTTCTTCTGTGGATTCTAGGTTTTTGCTAAAAAGGAAGACAACAATAAGAACATCTTATTTTGAAGCATTGATTAACATTAATTCAAGCTTATGAAAATTACTATTCCTTATCTTAGAAATTTAACTTACCTTTAAAATGTTTTGTCTAAAATATATTTAAAATGTTGCGCATAGATAATGCAAAGTGTTCTCCTTATGTAGCACATTTCTGTGCTCTTACCAGTCATGTATTTAAGTACAAATACTCTTAGCTGAATGCACTGATACATTTTGAAAGCATCACAACTTTAGAAGACTTCTTCATTTCTGCAATATTTGTTAGCTCTCAACTTACAACTGTGCAATTTAATACCTCTCAAATATTAAGTGCACTATCAAAGCATTTTATATGTATACATATATACATAACTTCGTGCCGATCTATCAATATATGGTAAATTTGACGACATTGCAGTTGTAAAAATATGCAAAGATTCTGTCAATAAGGTCTCTATTTTGTACATTTCAGCACTGTAAATGAGACTTGCAGCCATTAAACATTTATGACTATACTTGCTTCCAAAAAACGGTAAATTTATGATAATGTGGGAAACGTTGATACTGTGCATGAGTTTTACTCTAGACACAAATTTCATCTTAAGCAAATAAAAAGTCAAGGTACTATAAATTACTGAAAAAAACTACTGTAGTAAATAATTACAGAGCATATTAATAAACAAAACCATGAAACCTTTTTGAGTACTTTGGTCATGTATTTTTAAAATTTATTTTAAAAGCAGAAACAAAACTGATACGAGTCCACACACACAACACACATAACACTCGTTTCACATATGAGTTGAGAAACATTTCAGTTTCTCAAATTTTGTTACCACAGTAGTATTTAGCTTTATTTTTAATAAAGACTTCCATTAATTTGTTTTAGATAAGTGTTAAAATAAAAGGGTAATACATTTCTAGGAACTGAAGCTGTGAAAAAATAAGCCTGTGAAAGTAGAGCCTTTAAGCCAAAAAATTGACGTGGTAACATAGCCAAAAATAAGATTGAGATTGCACACAAACATTTATGCAATCCCCAACCACTTAACATTGGGTTTGTTGAAGTGAAAATGACTAAATTCTGAGAATAATCAAACTGAACCATGTTACACTATTCGAATACGATAGAAGTATTCACATGCTGACAGTCATATACAAATTGCTTCATCCTTACACTAAATTAGCAAACTTGGAAAATTCCTCTCCACCCATTCCAAACTTAATATTCTTAAGACTAATTCTTCCCCCCCACATAGTCTTTAAAAATCTTAATTCATAATTTCATTTTGATTAATACGGTAGATGTTTATTTGTGCAACTCATTGCCGTAAGGGGTATATGGCAAAAATTTCTAATGTCAAAGTGCTGAACATATACATCACATTGTTTTAACATCTACTACAATCATTTGGTAATACCATGTTATGGAAGACAGAGTGTAATAGAAAATCTCTAAGTACTGCTTCTTCAAAAAACTTTTGAATGGGGGTTTGATCCTTGCTGTAACTAAGTGGCAATTATTCTTATTTGATACACCATTACACAATATACCAATGGTTATCTCCAAGGTAAGAGAAAAAACAATTAAATAGGAATATATTCAATTGTAACTCTTCTTGTTTATTTATCACTTGTATGTGATTTTTTGATATGTAAAATCAACACATTACATGGAACTATTATATATTATTATAGTATTATATAAGACCTTAAGAATCTGGGGTTTCTTTAATTTTCAAGACAGTATTTTAGTATTACCGAGATTAAAAATTGCTGGAGCTTATCTGCATACTGGTTGATTCAGTTTTCCATTCAAATTGATGACTGAATTAGTGCAAAACTTTCACTCTGTGCAATTTTCTTGTACGTTGTAGTAGATGATACAATATTCAGCTCTATTTTTTCAACTGAATTTATTACCTATGCCAAACTCAGTTAACAAAACAAAGAAAACAACACGTACGAAAACTTTCAGACAATTCAAATAGCATTAATTTTGTATAAAATGTATTTATATTAAACTTTCCTTTCTACCTTCCCCTCCCTTCAGATTGCCAGAAGTATGAAATACGCATCTGGTAATGTAATCCCTAATAAGAGGTATTGCTACAGTAAGAGAAATGTAAGAGTCAAACACACTCTATTTGTATGCATTTGACTATCAGCTTTCTCATGTTTTCTAGGATTCATTTTATTGGTAGTAGGTATGCATGTCCACTCAAACTTTCAAACAATTTTATAAAAAGGTAGAAAAATATACTCAGTATTTGTTGCATAACCTTCCTATATTCACCCTATCACATATGAATCTTACAAAATGCTTTAGAATAATTTATTAGCTGCAAAAATACCAATGCAGCACCTGGAGAAAGGTCTTGGTGAGGATGTACAATCCAGTACTTTGAGATCTTGAAGGTATTTTTCTTCAGGTTTACAGCTATGTATTTTCACAAGTAAACCCAATAAACATTCAATATCATGTTCATATGAGCATCCAAATGACTTTTCTTGATCTCATGCTAAATCCTGAAGAAGAGCTGGTGATGTGAAAAGTAAATGACAAAGTCTGATCGACTAAGTACGATACAATGAACTCCATGTTTAATTATCACCAAGTTATTTTGCAACAAGTTGATAGTCTCATTTTTAAAAATTTCCTTCAAGGGCAAAAAATGTTTCTGATATAATTTTTTAATTGTGTTTTTTAAATGTTACTTGTGATCCAGTTAAGCAATGACATCATGGGTATCACTGTTGGGTCTTTGGCGTATAGTCAGCGGGGGCAGAGGCTTTCCATAGAAATCTGTATAAGAAATGCCAGACAAGAAAAACACATTAATCTGTCATTTACCGTCTCCTTTGCTTAAAGTTGTTTAAACAAGGTAAATTCTTGCTTCCTTAATGAAAGCTAGGTAGCCTGCACGTTTAGAGCTAATTTCTACCAGCAACTTTCAGGTATAGTGCTAATTAACGTCTGGAGGTGTATTGGCCAAAACCGGGTTTAATTACGTTTTATTATACATGAATCAGCTTTTGCAAGATCAAGCCCAAACGTAATCTGTAAACATGCCTAAAAATTGAAAATGAGACATCCAAAGTGTACAAATAACAACTGAAAAAAATAAGTATCAAAATTTGAATGTTGCTGTAGTCAAGCCTGCATTGCAATTAAGTTTTAAGTGACAGTAACGCTATGCAGCATCCAAAATTTTGGGACCATTTATGCATGGCATCTATCTCAAAAGCCATACTAACTTTCTAAAAGAACTATATTAAGAATTTTTAGATAAAGTGCATCATTTCCTTTTGTCAATAAAGGAGTTTAAACTCGTAAAATTGTTCACGGAAAAGTTAAGTACATCAGAAGAGAATAACAAATATTTCCAAACATTTGTAATTGATATAAAAGAAAAAACAAACATGCAGACTGGTACATGCAAAGCATTTCACAAGCAAAATAATGAAAGATGGTAAGATGAAACAGGTAGAAATCCAGAAAAATAAAAGCAGCTTTTTGAAGCACTCAAATCTCCATTTTGTTTATACAGACAATGTCCTCTCCAACAAAACCTTGATGGCCTGCCATCACAAAATTCAGCTTTAATAAATCACAATTTTCCAAGAAAAATATATCCCCACTTGTTCTACATATGCAAAAACTTGTGTTAAAATCGCATTCCTGAGCTAAAATCGACAAAAGCTAGCAAGCTGGATTACATTACTCTAAGAATGTGTGTACATGTCTGTAGGATCAAGGTTTTAGTTATCCTTACATTTAATCAGCAAAGTAACAACACTTTTATATTATTGTTGTAAATATTTTAATAGAGCTAATTCAGTGTTACAGCAGCATGTGAAAAGCAGCAAAACTGCAACAAATGCTTATAGGGTAAATGAAAACCTGTACAATGGATGTTTTTATTAGGCAGTTTCTTGAGGTCTGGCAGATGACTTTAGGACTGGCACACAATTTTACCTCCTATAATAAGAGAGGTTTATTATTCTTGCAAATGTATCCTCCAGTGACAATAAATAGATGCTCATTACCTAGCATTGTGCTAGCATCATTAACGTGACTAGAAAAATTGCAGTCTTTCAGTGAAAATAAGCATATAATTAAAGATTTATATAATTGACTCTGCTGCCTGTTAACTCTGCCTAAACATCCAATGCAATGTTCTCTGCTAAGAATGACACAAAAATGACTCAATATATATACCAAATAGCCTGCTTACCAACACTTAAATTTTTCAGATGGCATATTAAATCATTAAGGCAGATTTATGTCTCTGAGAACACCTAGCATTAAAACCCAGACCTTTGGAGGTTGTTTCAACCTCGCACTACACTAACTTTATATATTTCAGCAGTAAGGTCTACCACGTCTGTGATAATTCAAAAAAAAAAATTTTTAAGACACAAACAAAGGAATAACTGCTATCCTAACTGACAAAGACTGTACTAGAATGCATATGAATACTGATAAACACCTGTTCCTATGTTTTTCCATGGACTGGCAGAAATCAACACTACAAAAAGTCATATCTGTTTTGAAGCTTAAGGGGATTGACTTCCATTGAGGAGCTATCAAATGCTTTATTGATAATGGTCTTGGACATAGACTTTGAGACTACTCCTGAAAATAACCTTTACTCATAACCAAGGCTCCTTAAACTTTTAAAAGCAGACTGCTAAATACTTTTTTTTCCCTTGCCCTTATGGACACTAACCATTTTACCTGGAGTCCTGACAAAAGCATCTACCACGCATCCTACTGGAATTGAGGTTTTTCACCCTGGTCTATATGAAGGTATGTGCTCATTTGCCCCATGTACAAAGACTTTGCAGTCACTTAGCCAATAACAGTTTGTCAAAGCAAATTCTTCAACAGAATGCAGTATTACTATAAGAAAAGGTGCACTTCAGAGAATCAAAAAAATCCACAGAAAAGAAAGCCTTATTAAAGTCCTAGCTAAAGGAAATAAAAATTTTAAAATTCTAAGCTTTCACTGCAAATTGTGCCTTCAAGCCATTTATATCAATTAATCATGAAACCAATAAGGAAACGCAGCCCTTTTATTTCACAAAGGTTGAGTGCCTGAAACACTTTTAAAACCACCTTTACAGTGAATTTTGGGTGAAGCTGGGGGAAAAAAGCCACATCTGATTTATTTCTCTGCTGAAGGGAGAGTCAAAAAGAAGGTGGTTTTCAGAAAGATGCAATTCAGGGAATATTCTAAACAATGGGTCAAAGGTAGGCTCCACTGGTCTTAGGAAAACTCAAATGAGTTTCCAAGCAGGAGCAGGTTCTCCATCTGCAAAATATGTAAAAACTCATTGAAAAACACTGTTGCCTGACAGAAAACGGGCAAGGACAGATGGCGAGTTAAAATCAGTGCAACTTGGTAGTGTTAGGTTAATTGTTGAACTCAACGATCTTAAGGGTCCTTTCCAACCTAAATGATTCTATGGCTCTCAAATGGTCTGAGTGAGAAACCAAGTGCTTTAAGCAATGTAAGTAATTGATGCTCTTTGATATCGGGACCTAACTAAAGGTTTAACAATGCTCGACCATGTGTTTGATGAGCTTTTTTCATTTATAAATAGTGCTTTCCTAATAGACCTTTTCTTGCTTTCTGAGGATTTTCTGTATATATGTGGATCTTGTAAGTATCTCAAAACTCCTGAAAAAAAAAAAAGAATCTCAGCAAGTTGCTGGCAATGCCTTGAATTCAGCCGCAAGGTCCTGAGCACTCCAAGTTTCCTCTGATCTCAATGGTTACATGTCTGGTCAAGAGATTGTTCCCCTGCCAACATCTTTTCCATCATGAGATTCTAAAATACTTTACTTATTATCCTTATTTTACAAATAGACTAAATTAACACAGATCTCAGGTTACTAACTTACACACCTGTGAATAGGGAACCTAGCTTAAGCATTTTTTTTTCTCTCTTTGTCCCACCCACGCTCATGCTACAAAATGCAACATCTCCCTTAGGCACAGATAAAAATTGAGTACCACCTCTTCCCTTTTTTCCCCTCCCTACCTCTTCATCTGGCTTTTCTTTCTTGACGCCTTCTCTCTATATGCCTTTAAAAAAAAGAGCAAGACGGTTTTAGGATTAAGACTACAAATTACATTTTATGCACATGAATTATGCTTCTGTGAAAAATGAGTATCTAGGTTTTAGAGATCTTAATTCTCCTTTAGGTGTCTTGTGATTCTTTGGCAGAGAAGCTCCATGTTCTGTTGCTTCAGACCTTCAGCAGATACGTCCACATAGTAGTACAATCAATTCAAGTCAGGGTTAAGCTCAATAATCACTACAGCCACACTGAGCTCCTTTATGAGTTCCTCAATTAATGTTTTCTTTGTTCAATCTGTTTAAGTGCTCCCATTGCTTTAGTTTGGTTATCCTCCTCTCATATTACTCTAGATGTCTTGATATTCACTTGGCTTTTCAAAATTTGAAAAATAAAAATGTAAGAAAAATGAAGAAATTATAATCTAAATCTGAGAAAAAGATGCAATATGAGCATATGAAAAACAATCTTCCGTGGTCTTCCAAAAATAGAAAATAGTCATTACTGAAGAGAGAAATCAAGCATCTGCCTACTACACCTTGACATTTCCAGTTATTAAACTTATTTCTCCTATCAGTTTGTGAACTTTCAGGGACACTGGCTCTTCAGATAAAGCAGCAGGTCCCAAGCTTTATCACTGACATCTCTCCTCGCAGACTAACAACCTAGTTTTCAGTTGGAAGTCTCACTACCTTCAACAATCAATGTTGGGCTTTTCACCATAGCTAGGACTGCAGTCCCTCCTTTGAGTTGCTAACATAACGCACTTAATTCAGAGGCGCCCACACGTCTTTAGTTTTCCTTTACAAGAAAACGCCACCAAATAAATGACAAAAACCTGACAGACTATGCTTTTAAAACCACATGGAAACAGTAGCAGTGGGTAGAAGAAATTTTAGACTATCTCAAGACCAATGTGGAAACAAACAGGCAGCTTAGTGCAGAACCAGCCTGGATGTGAAAGAGCCACTATGAATGCCAAATGAATAAGCCCTCCTGGATCTCCGCAGTGTCCTCTCTGATGAGTACCTCAGACTTCCTCCTGTATCCAGATAACCCAGCTCCTGTCCCCATTGCATCAGATAACGATGAACTGTTCACATATGGACAATGGAAATATGCTTTGAAACCTTCATGTTGAATGCAATATGTGTTTGGACTCTTAAAGTAACTGGTCCTATTACTCCTTGTTATATGGCACATTATAATATTTAGTTGCATGCTGCTGTGCAAATAACTTCAGACCATACATAGCTTCTGATATCCCATGCCACTTTAAATTTCGTAAGGGAATCTGAGAGCACTTACTCTTTTTGGTGAAAAAAGAAATAAGACTTGAAGAATCAAAAAGATGCTTTCTGCTAAGCAAAAGGGTTAGCTTTTAGTCAATGAAAACTGGCATTAAGAAATTAAAAAAAGATGAAGAATAAAATGAATGTAGAAGTGAATGAGCAATGGAGAATGCTTTAAAAACGTACAAAACCTCAAATATTTTCAATTACCAGCATGATGTGTTTCACCAAGAGGCTCAAGTTTTCGAAGTCTATTAAGTTTGGGAGTTCCCCAGCCAACTAAAGGAAAACAAAGACAGTCAAAACATGCCACGACTGCACTTGATTCTGATGAAACGTACAGAAGCCAGTTCTCTTTTGGAGAAATTAAAGCATTTAGAGATGCCAAAAGTGTGTAATATATTGTATAGATGGTGAATAATGACTAATACTTTAAAAATAAACTGATTTACCCTTAAAAATATTGTTATTTTTAATCACTTTTTCATCAGTGAGTAGTCAAGTTTCTGACTTTTTTTTTGTGAAAAAAATAACATCTTCCCCCACGGAACAGATCAAATCAGTAGTGCTGAAAGTTCATACCATGAAGTGGGAAACGGCATCAAAGATTTCCTAGAGAAAATGCTTTAGTAGCGTATGTCTGTATGAAGACCATTCCAGTTTCATAATTCACAAATGGATATTTTAAAGGATTAATAACCACAAATTGATAAATCAATTATTGTTTGTTAGTACACTTACCTGGTGGAAGAGCTGGTGGTGGTGTAGGATTTTTGGGAACAGCGTCCTCTGAATTAACAGGTTCTACTCTGTGGCCCCTTTTTAATTTTGTTTTTTTATTTTTTTTCTTACTGTTATCTAGACCAAACAGAAATCAAGCATTACACATCAAGCAGTTATATTCAGGGAATATCTTAGATCATCTTCTAATACAATTGTTGGGGTGAGATACATCAGTGTTTTCAGTCCAAACTTATACACAAAATTATGTGAAATGTAAAATATACACAACATTTTGCTATAGAAAATAAACTGTGAGCATAAAATATATGCAAACTCTAGGTTATAACAAAGCAATTCAGCTTAGCTTGGTACTGATGGAAAGTGGACCACATATTTGATTATGATAAAAATGAACCTAGTTTCAGCTACAGTATGAGTCACACCAACAAATACACACTTTTTCAAAGCAGATTTTCCAATACAAAAACCTAATGGTGTATTTTTGTGTTTGCAATACACTAAGTTGACGTGTGGTATCATGAAAAATAATACAGACAGAGGGAAGAACTATGTGAAAAACATTAAATGACACACTAAAAGAAGCTGTTTACCCGAGTCAAGGCATTCTGAGGCTTGCTGCTCATTCTCTTCATGCTGCAAAAGCTGCGTAGTTGTAGAATTGCACGTTTCTTGTCTACAATCATTTGTGTTTTGGCTGCTGCTACTTGATAAATGCTGGGCATCCATTTGTTCCTGCTCTGTTTGTGATTTCAAGACCACTGTAGCCTTTTCAGTCTCCAACCTTTGCCGCTTCTTTTCCAATTGTTTTTCATTCTAACAAAAAGTATAAGAATTTTTTTTTTAACAACTTCTACCGCTGTAAACTGACTAAAAAGACAGGAAGGTTATTTTAAATGTCAAAATATTACTAAGATATTTTTATATCCCACATCTAGCATAGAAAATATTTTAAAATAGGTGAAGAAATTCAATTTCCAATATACTGTCCAGAGGAAGGAAAGGAATTTAAAAATAAAAATAAAAAAAAGGATTACCACCAAAATAAATTATCTTTAGGTTTATAGCCTGTTTTCTTGCTTCTTTGTTTTTGGTCATATGACAAAAAAAATGCTAGCTGTATAAACAACATCAACAGTCCTGAGCAAAAGGTTAGAAAAATCCTAATTTCTTCCTCTTCAATTATCTTTTTTTTTTTTTTAATGATTTAGTTAAAACAAAACACATGTGTACGGAGCTTAAGTATCCAGAAAGTGCCACCATGATTTGGACAAATACCAGTTGTGTCATACAGACTCAATGACGGGCTGTTTCACAGGTTCTATATCACTAAATCACCATCTCTGCAGTATTCGGAGCTATATCCTCCTCTTTTTACTCTGCACGAAGCTGACTTTACAAGATATAGCAATACGGATGCTTTTGTCCTGGAGAGAAGTAGATGTTTGAATGAATTACCGGAAAAGTCTCTGAGAGCTTACATGTTTTGTGAGGTTTTTATCAACTGAATAAAAAAATATGGTACAATAAATAAGAAGTACCTGAACTCTGAAACACAGGTTAAGGAAACTTTATATATTAGTATGCTTTTCGTATTTCAAAGCTAAGAAAACTTCTCCGTTGTCTGTTTTCAACAGAACACAGGCTATCCTTAGAAATCTAAATAGCTGAAGTAGTCAGGGAGATTTTCTGTGACTCACTACATCACTAAAACACTTTACAAGAAACTAATCAACCTTGAATATTTTCCACTCCTGAATATCCAATAGCTTAATCAGGAAATGTGTTCAGTCTGTGTCTACAAAACTTTTTGTCCCCAAATCAATAATAGGAGATTTTCTTAACATGAAAACATTGATTCAATGCACACAAAACAAGACTGCTAAGATTTAAAAAGCTAAATAAAATAATGCTGTGCATACAGACTTAGAATAATTCTTTTAAATGAACCATTTTTCTTATTACCTCTCGGACATTTGTTAGTGGTAGGTCTAACACGATCCAGATTTCCACATATTCTCATACCTCAGAGATTACAGCAGATATAGGCTGGAAGGGGTTTTCAGCGTTCCCAGGCTCAGGGTCTTCCTCATCAGGTACACTTCTGCCTTCTTCTCTTTCCCTTTGTTTTGTTGTGTTTATGATGTTGTTGTTTTGGAGGTTGTTTTTTTTTTTGGGGGGGGGGGGGGGGGGAGGGTAAGAGCAGAGGATGAACAAAGAATTATGAAGAAGCCATAAATTTTACATAACAGAGACTTATTAGGTCATCTAATTCACCCTCCAATTTATGTCAGCTGATTTTTACAATACGCTGCTGTATTTTGAAAAACATTCTACAGAAATCACAATGACAGGCTAACATCAATAAAGCACGAGTAGGTGTTCCGGCATAGGTAGAAACACACGCTGCTACGTGCCAGAATGTTGAATCAGCACTTCAGGAAGCAGAAGCAGTTTCTGAGGACAGGTATGTTACAGAATACATCTGTAACTGGAAAGTTTTGATTGTTCAACAGTATGCTGAAATTTTCATGCTGAAATTTTCACACTTGTAATCTTTTATAACAATTGATTCAAGGTATTCAATCATTTAGAAATAAAAATAGTAAAATCTACGTGGTGGGAAACCAGACTATCTAAAACTTATTCTTCTACTTTTAATACACCTCCATTTCTCCTAATTCTAGAATTTTCTTAATATATATAAGAGACAACTAGTACCAGACTATTCAGTTTATGTAGCAACAATTAGGGAATCATATTTGCTTCAACTAGGCTCAGAAAAGTTCAGAAAGACATGTAATGCTCGGTCTACTGTTGTTGCACCAGCACTAGTTATTTTTTATGTACCAGATCTCTGTGTAAGAATTATTAAATTACTATGTATTAAATAAGGTATCATTAATAAAGCATATGCTCATCAAATACTTTTCATCAATTGATTTGATGGTACTTGTGCACAGGAAGTCACTGTTACACCAACTTTACAGCTGCAAGTACTGAGAGAAGAAGTAACCCCATTGTTCAGAGGCACAGATGGGAATGACAAGGAGGTCACTGATCCACTTGTGAACCATGCCACTTGGAAGGAGGAGCCAGCGCTATGTTAAAACTTATTGGCACTACCTCTCTCTCTGGTTTTCCATTTGGAACAAGATGATTTCTACTCACATGGTGGAGGAAATGCACTTTAAGGAAACATTCAGGGAAACCAATCTAAACAAAAAGCAGTCTGGGGAATTATTAAAACACAGAATGAAACAGAATTACACTTGAATCAAGATTAACCTGTTCCTTACAGTAAGAAATCGACTTGATGCAAAACAGCAAAATGAGAGTTAATGCCATGTCTTACATCCAAGACAAAGCTACAGGCAAAACCAGCAGAAGTTACTGGTTAGCTTTCCTCCAAGACACAAGAAGTTCAGCAAAACTTTTAAGCCTTTAATCCAATTCAGACCTAATCAATTCTCCCAGTGAACAAATACAATCAAGATCACTGAGCAGGAACATAATATATGTAAAATATCAGTCAGTCAGTCCTCCTCGCTACACAGCATAAACCCAACACAATCCAACATGGTCAGAGGGTTTTGTCTACACAGAGACATCTGGCACACACTAACAGCACATAATTTTTTAATAAGTTTGTGAAATAAGAACAAAGACTGTGTCAAATTCCAGGTATTTAAAATGTGCTTAAGTAATTTACTTGCTGAAGTAAACCAAAGCAGCAAGAGTACAAGCCAAGATACTTCACAGTAGCTTCACAGTTACTTCTGACAGTAACTGAGACTCGCAAATCTCTGCATATATAGGGTAGACGAGCGGGGGGGGGACGGACACACACGACAGAGGTATTCAGCACATTTTTTAAGAATGCCCCAGTAAAATGATTCACATCAGTCTCTAACAGAAACCATGGTGGGCTGCTGATGACCGCAAAGGGCTTTGAAGGGAAGTAATAAATCACTTGTCCTGCTTCCCTTCCCTGCATCATCTTAAGTCTTTCCATGCCTCACCTGCTGGATATCCTGAAGTTGTGCTGATTAAAATTTCCCATCTAGTCTTTGATATTCACATGCGAGTTACGAAGTCTAACTTAAGAAAAGTTTATTTTAGAACACACTTGAAGGTAACTAAAGATTAAATGACAGGATTTATTTTTTAGGTTTGCCTCTTGTGAAGTTACATTAACAAGGCCAAATTTATTCCACAACTACCTTGCAATTCTCATTGACGGTGAATTTCCAGCACAGAGCCAATAAAACAAAGGCGATGATCCAGGCAAAAACTTGTAGGTCTTAAAGGTTCTAGCATTCAGGTCTGTACTTTAAGTATGGAGACTCTTGGATTGTAAGCTTTAAATCCTTGATAGCTTAGTTCCCACAAGGTCTATGTACAGGAATGAATCAAGTGTCTTAGAGAAAGGGAGGAAGGGGAGGTAGAAGAAGTTACAGAGATAATACCTTTCTTCTCGTATCCTTCTCACTCGCTCAGCTCGTTCTAGTTTCTTTTGTTCTTCATATGCTTTTTGTTCTGTAGTGTCTCTTTGGATGCGCTCATTTAAGGCATCAAAATCTTTTGCTATGATATGTAGAAGCCAGTATAAACCCTTTTTTATTGATTTATCAATTTTCTTCCCACAGCCCATGATAGCTGAGCAAGGTTCCTGTAAATAAAAGGAGAAGGAAGGGAAAATTATTTGCAGTTCAGATCGCATTCCTTGACTGAAAACAAGAAACCAACTAAACAATTACCATTTACTGTGAAGATTGCAAAACTCTGAGCAGTACGGGAAATTAATTTGCATTTAGGTATTCTATACATTTAGGTGGGTTTTTTTGCCAACCCACATTAGTTCTACCAAATTCCATTATTTCTAGTCCCATTTCAAAAATACTAGAATACTGCACAGAAAAACATGTTTGCATGTCTATCTCTAGACATATATATACACACCTGTTACAACACACAGTTGTTATATATACACCTGCTATATATATTTACACACCTGTTTCTGTACACATCCACATATATGCATCTATATAGAAACATAATTTATCAACCCCAAATATGTATGTTCTGTTTTGCTGCTGGTTTATAAATAGTCCATGTTATATTTAACTAGTAAAATGGAAAAAACGAGATGCAAGAGAATCAGCTTAGCTTCAGTTCATGAAAGGAATGTTAGACTTGTTCATAAGCACCGAGGGGATAAATAAAATCCCGAGTGACTTTGTCAGAAAAACTGCCAAACCAATTCATTTTTTTAGATGAGAACAGGTATTGTGCATAGGGGTGAAGCAAAATATTATGCATCTTGACTGGAGTAGAACTCTTGTCATGATATTCTCATCAGCAAGCTAGAGAAACATGATCTAGGCAAATTTATGGGAAGATGGGTGCAAAACCCATTGCTAAATTAATTTGGAATGCTTTATCTAGCTTGCATGCAACAACTCAAAAAAGTGGATTGACTGGAAGGATCAAGAAGAGCACAGTGAGAAAAATCAGACAAAATTGGTCATGAAAACACATCTGGTAAGAAAATACTGAAGGAACAAGAGTGGTTCTCTTGAGATGAAAAAGCTTCAAGGAGATATAATAATAGCCTTCAAAAACACAAGACATAACTGCAAACAGGAAAAGAATCATTTGCTCTTCATGTTCATTGTCAGGAGGACAAGTATAATGAGTTTGAATTGGAGCAAAAGAGATACGGCTTGATTCTGGCTTAAAACATGGAAAAGGACCACGTGACCTCTCAAGATCTCTTCAGAACTATTTTTCAGAATGTTTTGGAGCACTGTATGGGTCTTTAAACTGTTCTCTGAACAATAATTGAATAGATCCAGCTATGTATTTGACATGAAGAAACGATATTTCATACTGATTGTGTTCAGGATTTGTGTTCATGAATGAAGGAAGATTAAAAAGGACTAACTCTCCAATGTCAACACCTAAAAAATTCTCTGTGTTATCTCTCCATTTGACAAGCATTTAAATGACACCATAGTCAGATATGGTATGTGCGATTTACAACTGAAAAAAATAATTCTGACCTATTATGTCCCCCTGGAGTGCCAAATCTAGTTTGCATTTTAATATGTCCCTACTTTATCTAAATTAAGGTTCAAACATGAATGTTATTCACTATAGAACACTACAATACTCTCTAGCAGAACCTAATCAGGGCTAAGATGTATAGGCAATAATACCTTGTTTCTCTGAGAAAACTAAGATAAAACAATAGACAGTACTGGGGCGACTTTCTTCTTGGTTTGCGCTAAGATTACTGTTGCTGTAGTTCAGTTACGAAATATAGAAATTTAGAAATATAGAACATATAGATACAAAAGAAAAATAGGAAGGTCATTCTCACAGACACTGTGAGACAAATGATCCCTTCCATTTTCAATATTTGTGGAGAAATGTAAAGATCAAGAAGAAAACTAGTTAGAAGAGTAAGAACAAACCAAAGGTTTTTTGGTCCTTGCCTAATTTTATTTAAATCTTGTTTCACAATGCCCCTGTTTAAATTCACCCCGTGAGTCTTCATATTGAAATAATTTGAGACCATGTTCACCTTTAATACGCCTAGTAAAGAAGCTGCCCATTGGAGTATGCAAGACTCTCACAGCTGCTTTCAGCTAAAATGACTCAGAGTACGTGATCTAGTTTCTTTGTTGATTACACCCAAGATATACATGGAGAACAAGAACAGCATTTTACTGGAACATGTCATAAATTAAGTAATTCTAAAGTACTGGAAAAATACACTAGAATCTTTGAGGTCTTTTATACTGATAATGCTGTACAAGAAAATATTTTTGTTACAAGTCCCTTGGAAAAAAAAAAAGGTGAACTTGCAATTTTCATGTTTATGATTGCTACATATGCATAGTGCAAAGTCTACTGACTGAAGAAAAGCACTTAAAGAATCACGACATAATGAACATAGCTATGCCCTGCTATAACTCCACTTTCTAGAGAAAATAATAGCAACACGTATTACACTATGAACTTTGCAACTCTCCTTAGGGAATTAAAAGTCTTTTCTAAACTTTAAAATGCAAATACCATCTGCAACGGTTTTGCAAAATTGCCTTCTAATTTTGGTTAGTAACAGCATAACTCTTACTATCTTTTACAATATTTCTTATTGCAATTAGAAAAAGATGGTAAAATTAAAGACCACAAATAGTTAACTGGTTGATTAAACAAAGGCTTAGAGAAAACCTCAGGGAATACTGATTTGGATAAATTATCTGAAATATTGACCAATATTAAGTAGCTTTCGTGCAGATTCCTGGTTTTGGCTCCCCTTCGCCTTTTTTTTTTATGGTTTATTATTACTATTTTTTTAACGTGACTATGAATACTACCTCTGAAATGTAGCTGGTTTAGGACAAATATTACTAGCAACTAGCTCTAACAGTGTTCTTTAGTGACTACTGTGGTGGGAATTAGATGCCCTAGGAATTAGATTAAGTTCTTACTGTTTGCCAGATGGTGACTCAGACTAAATGATGATTTTAGCTATGAACAGAAATGAGACAAACATCATATCCAAAAAGCGATCCTTCCTGAATGTCAACGTAGGCAAATTCCATTTCCTGCTTCTTTTTAAAAAGATGGAATATTAAACTTGCTGTCCAATTAAACAAGTTTTAAACCACATCAGTAACTAATTATTCTTACCTGGTTTCGGAATGGACCAGCCAGTACATTTTGAGGATCCTTGCTATAAGCAGAACGTCAAGGCGAACAGTAGAATTGCTTGCAGAACAGAGATATGTACTGTACCTTTGCTGGGATTGCAGGTGTTTAGTTTCAGTTTTACACCATGCAGCACAATCTCCTATCTTATTGCAAGCTTTACACATATATTAGAAAACGAAGCATCTTAAAATATACTTACAATTTGACATAGACACTTGTGTTCATTGACTAGCTTTTCCAGAGATAAGGACTCGATTACATCTGCTTCTGACAGAGCTCCTTCTCTGTCCTGTTTATTTGCCAGTCTAAGGAAGAGATCAAAAGAAACACTTAGCACCCTGACATGAGAGAGACTCTCAGATCTCCACAAGTGAAGTTTTTGACAAAAGTAGGACGAAGAAGGGGAAGAAGGAGAAAGTAAAGAGAAACGCCTTGTTTCAGCTTTAATTCTTAATTGCTCTTTATACTTAATAAACATGTTAGTCCATGCACTATTTTCAGCAGATACTTACATTAAATATTTTCTAAGGTGTTTAGTAATTATTTAATAATTATTAATAGATGAAGCAATTATATTTTAAAGCTAAGAAGACGGATGTAAAAAACTACTGTTCTACATCTGGAGCTACACAATACAATCCACTGGAATCTATGGATCAAAGTTCAGAACTTTGCAACTTCCTAAACTATGCACATTTCCCCACATAATACTGCTTCATGACCAGCTCAGGTCTGCCTACTATCCAGAATTTCTCTCTGATGCCAAACAATTTTATATGTAATGTTTTGAACCTGCTCTTTGTAAGTAAAACTTCAAGCTCAGAGGGAGGAACTTGCAAGAATGGCTCTAAAAACGTACCTTATTATTAGAGGGAAGAAAAAAAAAAAAGGTGTATGAAACCCATAGCTTACAAAATAAGTATTCTGTAACATGAAGTGCCATCATTGTCTTATTTCTTAGAGATATGGTAGCAACGAGGACTCAAGAAGATAAGATAAACATGTTAAGTTTTTGGGGAACTGTTGTTCTTGATCAGATTTGTCTTCCATACACTCTGTAACTGCATCCAACACTGCAGCTAATAATGTGTTTTTCAAAAGGCACAAACCAGATCTGATTTACCATCCAAAGAATGTGATTCATTATTTCACACTTTAATATCGACGTTCACCCTGAAGCAGAGGCTGTTGTGTTCCTTTCAACACTGTTATCAATAACTGCTACAAAGGCAGGAGGGCTGTCCAGAATTATTAACATCCTCAACGCTAAAGTTCTTCACCTCAGCAAACTCCTGGTGATATCATGTTCTAACCACACACAGAAATGAAAGTTACTTCCTTTTATCAAGACTAATTTTTTAATGTTTCACTGAAAACTCTACACATGAAATGAACCTGGAAAAGCTTCCAATCTAAAGCCCTAAAAGGTACATCGAAAACTACATGCAAGAAAAAGCACAGGTAATTGCCAAAACCTGTATGGAACCACCTCTCACAGAAGGGCAAAATCTTTTCCCTTATGGGGGTTTCTCTAGTCTCTCCAAGTAATAATTTTCATGAAACTCACAGGATTTGACTAGCCTCGAGACCTCAATTTCTTGATTAAAATGGATTTAAATCGGTCAACATCCAAGAAGGTAGGATGGATTAGTAAGGTAAGTTTACCTAAGTATTCAGGAATGTGTTAGCCAAGCAGATGTATTCTCTGAGAAGAAACTTTAAAAAGTTAACTTGCAGTCACATTGGTCAATGATTCTCTGAGTTCACTTAAAAGCAAAGTTTAATAACAAATGAAGAAATTTAGATAGAAATCCAAAATACAAATGTTAAACAGACAAACAAAAATAACAAAAAGAAACGCATATGAAATCATTCATGTTTCTTGAGGGTCTGAGAGTTCTAGAAGGAATAAACAAAACTTCACAAAAGGGGTCGAGTCAAAAAAGAGTTGTTCCTATCTTCCATAAAAACTTGTGACAATAAGATATACAGTCTTACGTCTCCCATTACCTGCTTTTAATTAAAAGCTAGTATGATAAAACTCTAGGAATAATGAAAATACATTAAATAATATTTTACAAGCGATAGACTACTCCTGTTCAAAGTTACTATTTTTCGGCATGAAAAAACTGGTAGTGTTTGCTTTGAACCACCATCTATCATTCTAGAATATAAGCATACAATACAATCTTATTTTGCATTTTCTACAACACTAGTAATTCAAGCTAAGTGCAAAAGCTGCAAAAAGGAGTATTGCATAGCATTAGGGAACCTGAAAATTGCACTTGCCTTTCTCTAATAAAGGAATTCCACTAAAATAATGTTCTTCTGAAATTTAGCAACCCTTCTATTACATGAGAACTCTGATTCAACTTTCTGGGTAAAATCATAAATATTTGGCTTCCATGAATGCAATGGCAGATGGTTTTGTAACCAGACATCATAGCCTTTCTTCTGAAATGTCAAGTCATCATCATTAACTCAAATGGCTTTTAGGGAATGTTAGGCCAAAGCTCCTCCTCCTTTCTGGGAAGGAACAACTGTAAGAATTCACTCCGTAGTTAGTAGAAATTGCCAGCACTTCAGTTTAATGTAAGACCTTATTCCTTCCTGTTTTCCAGAATTGCAGTATGAGTGCCTCAATTCTTAATTATTTTACTCCCAAGAGAGTTTTTAGCTTCAAAGAGACATTTAAAAAAAGCTGTGTTGGATCTACAGCTCAAAAACCATTCCTTGTCACTATTAACCTCATGAACTATGATTCATTATCTAATCTTTCTTTTCAAGAAGACTTTATGAAGGAGACCATAGAAAGATGGCTTCTCAAGTGTCCGTTCTCTCTCAGTCTTCATCAGTCTTAACTATTCGTCGTCCCAAAGGTTCACTTATTTATCATCATCTTCAGGACAAAAATCCCTACATCCTACTGCTAATCAAAGCTTTGCTGACTTGCCTGCAGAGCCAGAAAGAACATAAGGGTCTCCTCCCTGCCCCTCCTTGGATAATCCATTCCCATCTCTCAACAAAAAGAGCACTTCTACAGTACTTTGTATGATTTAGTGCAGAGATTCCCTAAATGTTGTTTGATGCATATACAGAACCCATGACATCTTCAATAAGCTTATGATACTCTGGCACTATTCCTTCTCACCACCCAGCTAGAACAAGTAATGCCTTCTCAGTATTCAGCAATGAAGAAAAGGGAAAAAAAGGGAAAACCAAGAAAAACTTCCTAAACCAAGGAAAAACTGAATCAAAATTAAAGAAAGCTAGGGAAAGTAATTAAAAGATTGGAACCAATTATCTCCACTTTTTTCCCCCCACATAACCTGTCTTTGTTACAGTCTGAAAATCCTACTGCACTGCCCCTTAGTCTCAAAAAGCATTCCACAGCAGTGCTGTCAACTCATCTAGATCTAATTGAGAAAAATATTTCTGAACACAGTTTGTTGCCACAGCCTATTCTTTTCTCACCTGAAGATTAAATAACTGCACTATTCAGTATGTTATTGAAGTTCACATTCTACAAAGCACAGCTGAAGCAGAATGAAATGTTGGTTAAGTCGCATAGCTCAGTGTGAGTGTGACACTAACATCCTATAACTTGCAGTAGCTGCCGATTTTTAGCTTCTAATACGCTGAAAGGTGTAAGATTTGTCTTTTTTGGTCAATTAGCTTCCATTTTCTCCACAGCACTCCTGTTGCGTTACTGACTGCATTAAGAAAACACAGCTGAGGTGCTGTATCTGGAAAAGTAGCATATCCAAACAGCTGTCTCCACCTTATGCTCCCCAAGAACTGAAGTGGTTTTGCACAGGTCATACATCTCCGGCTGTACACCCCTGTCCGCCCCAGCCCTTAGGTCAAACTTATAAACGGAGCTAAAATATTTTGAAGATACTGTGACAAAGGGTATCATTTTGCTATTGTGGGCTGTGTGTTTTTTTTTTTTTTCCTCCTTTTCAGGAAAATGCATTAATAGATCCAGAACCTCCCCTTGTTTCCTTTTCCCTTCTACTTGTGCTTCACAGATAGTGCTGCTTCACTGCTTCACAGTGCTCCACTTCCAGCTCACAAGGCTCTATCTGGGGAGCTGCTCCCAGACACTTCCTGCTACGGGGCAGCTCCAGCAGCGATCCGCCCCTCTGCAAGGCTGGGTTTCAAACAGGCAGAACCAGATTCCCCAAGTAGAAAGTAATCAATTTGCCTGCCTACTGCAGTTGCAGAAGTCGGTTTCTCTCTCACACCACTGCTCCTGCAGATGAACCCTTGGACAACCATATAACAACTAGAAGCGGAAGGCATGCACAAAATACTTCATGGAATGCCACTCAAGACACATTACTTAGGCAAATATTCCAAACAATGTTTTTCAGGTTATACTGAAGCTTAACCTCAGGAGGTCCTTCGTAAAGGATAAAACAGAAAGCCACCAGCACAGGATTAAAAGGTAAAGATTTTCTTTTACTTAATGTTTATAAAGTTGCAAATATCAGAAAAACACTTGGTAGTGTGGTTTAGAATGGAGATGTGCCTAAGTGTCAAGACATAAAAATAATGGGTATCTACCCTGCAAAGAATTGCATGTTTCTCTGAGTGAATATAGTCTCAGAGCTCTGCTGCTCATGCACAGGAATGCTAGGCTTTGAGGCAAGTTTTATGCATAAAACTTCCTTCTTTAGGGAATACGTCAGTTATCTTAAAGGATAGACCTTGATTTTAATTTTCCAAGTCAGTAGAACTTCATATATAGCAATTTGTCATGTTTAAAAAACTGTAGGAAGTATATATCGAAACATACTTGAAAGCACAGGAGAGTGTCTGTTGGTTTATCACATTAAGTTTGCTGTCTGAGAAGCTTTCATACACAGCATCATGCTTGGCTTATTTCAATTTCACATAAAGGGTTTTTGGAACCTTGTAACAAACTTACTTTATGCAAGAAATAACGAAAAGGTAGGCATCAACTGCTTTTATAACAAGTAGGATTTTTTTCAGCAACTAGAGAGCTTTTGAAGTTTATTTTAAGAGTTATGGGAAACAATGTGGAAAGGGAGTGCATGTGTGCATTGGCACAACTGAGAGCTACAGTTTAGTGACAATATTTCTCTCAGAAGACAGAAGACATGACAGAGAAAAACAAAGTCTGAATGCAAACTAAGTGGGTTCCTTGATCTGTTTCTAAAATAAAAATTACTGAGCAAAGAGGAAAAAAAAAACCTACACAACAACAAAACAACACTATTAAATTTTACTTTACAATCCAAAGGATTGGTGAAAAAAAAAATCCAGGATGAAATGGACA